ACCCTCTGGTCTCAGCCTCCGCGCCTTGTCTTCCCTCTGCCTGCTTGCTCTTCCCCTAGCAATGAACACGAAGGCTCATTGTATTCTCCCGAGACCCCAGATCAAATCCCACCCCCATTACTGTCAGAGAAAAAGAAAGAGCCCTGCCATCCCCCAGACCAGGGAGGCACGGAGCCGCCCTGTGTTTGAGCAGAACATAGCTTCTTCAGCGGCTGGGTGGGGGATTCGACTGCTAGACCTTTCTCTGGAGGCACCCCAGGAACAAAACTACCAGCCTTTTTGGTGAGCTGAGGCTTGCTTTCCTGTTTGCAGCACAGGCACCCCTGTTACGACCATGCCCTGGATTACTGTCTCCACACTAGTGTGTGAGGAGCATCCGGTTCATTGCTGAGCTTCCCAGGGAGCCTACCTGATTCACCCAGTGTCTAGCATGGGAAATAAGGCCTAAGTGTCAAAGTGAACATCTGGGACCACATGGAGGTGGTAGATCCCCTGGCCCAGGCCTGGGATTTGGGTTCAGCTTTGCCCACATGACCCACCCTCACCCTCATACCACTTTGCACTGGAGGCAAATGAGGAAACCGAGCCCAGGAAGGTTCAAGCACTCGCTCCAGGTCAAACCAGTCAGTAGGCTCACCCTGATTTTCTGTCACTACCATCACGCGCTGACTGCCCAGAAAATGTTCTCAGGAGGCACGGTTGAGTCGAACCCTGAGTTGCGATGCTCCCCTTCCAGGGCAGAAGAAGATGGGAAAGACAAGACGACTCGGGTACAGGAGGTCTGTTTCTTCAGTGATACTCTCAGGATTAGCTTCTCCAAGATTAATGAAATCATTTGGCTGACTAACAGTTATTGATATGAGTTGACTACTGGCGAGTGCGCAAGGTGACTTTTAGTTGAATATGAATCCATTTGGAGTTCTGAAAACAGGCAACAGTAGGTGGAGCTGCAATGTAAGTCAGGCAGGGCAGTGGAGGGCAGGCAGGTGCTTTTAGTTGCTAAAGAAAGGGCATGCTTTGGAGGGAATGGAGTGGCGAGTTCCCCAGGGAATGCTGAAGGTGGACTTTGGGGCCAGGGCATGGTGCCCCAACAGACTGGACTGGAAAACACTCCTAAAGTCCAACAAACAGTCCTTGAACTAACTACAAGCTTTTCTTTCTTGTTGTGTTTTGTTTTGTTGTCATTGGTTTGTTGTTATTTTGTTGTATATTGTTGCTTGGTTTTGCTCTGTCTTGTTTTTGTGCATGTTATTATCTCTGCAGGGCTGTCTAAATAAGAGGCTGGATAAACAACCTGGAGGAGAAAACAACGGGACTGACAGTTCTGGGGGGACATGGGAGAAGGGGAAGTGGGGTGGGGGAAGGAAGTGGTGTTAAACCCAGGGACATGGGAACAACAGGTGATCCAAATTGGTGGTGAGGTGGGTGTGGGAGGCCTAGTAGGGCATGATCAAGGGTAATGTAACAAAGAGGAATTGCTGAAACCCTGGTGGGGACTGAGCATGATAGTGGGACAGGAGGAAAGTCAAGGGAAATAGAGGAAAGAGCTGGGAGGCAAAGGGCATTTATAGAGGTCCAGATAAAGACATGTACATATGCAAATATATTTATATACGAGGATGGGGAAATAGATTTATGTGCATATATTTATAGGCTTAGTATTAAGGTAGCAGATGGACATTGGGCCTCTACTCCAGTACTCCCTCAATGCATGAATACTTTCTTCTATTAAATTGGCATTCTATGATGCCCACCTTCCCAACACAACCGCTGAAGACAAAGCGGGTGAATAAGCAAATGTGGTGAAGAAAGCTGATGGTACCCGGCTATCAAAAGGTATAGCATCTGGGGTCTTAAAGGCTTGAAGGTAAACAAGTGGCCATCTAGCTCAGAAGCAACAAAGCCCACATGGAAGAAGCACACCAGCCTGTGCGATCACGAGGTGTCAAAGGGATCAGGTATAAGGCATCATCAGAACAAAAAATCTTACCATAGTCAATGAGGGGGTGAGTGCAGAGTGGAGACCCAAAGCCCATTTGTAGGTCACTGGAGATCCCCTTGCAGAGGTGTCTCGGGGAGGAGACGAGCCAGTCAGGGTGTGATGTAGCAACGGTGAAAAATACAACTTTCCTCTAGTTCCTAAATGCTTCCTCCCCCCACCCACTATCATGATCCGAATTCTACCTTGCAAGTCTGGCTAGACCAGAGGATGTACACTGTTACAGATAGGAACTGGAAACACAGGGAATCCAGGGTAGATGATCCCTTCAGGACCAGTGGTGTGAGTGGTGATACTGGGAGCATAGAGGGAGAGTGGGTTGGAAAGGGGGAACCGATCACAAGGATCTACATGTAACCTCCTCCCTGGGGGACGGACAACAGAAAAGTGGGGTGAAGGGAGACGTCGGACAGGGCAAGACATGACAAAACAATAATTTATAAATTATCAAGGGTTCATGAGGGAGGGGAACAGGGAGGGAAGTGAAAAAAAAATGAGGACCTGATGCCAGGGGCTTAAATGGAGAGCAAATGTTTTGAGAATGATGACGGCAACGAATGTACAAATGTGCTTTACAAAATTGATGTATGTATAGATTGTGATGAGTGGTACGAGCCCCTAATAAAACGATTAAAAAAAAAGGGGGCATGTTTTGAGCCCTTTAAAACTTGGGCCAAGATCATACTATATATAAAATCATTTAAGATTGGAATTGGCTCCAAAGCCTATTCCTAACTCTTTCTATTCCCAAAGTTTTAAAGTGGGATTATGACATGGACTTTTAAAGAATGAGTTGCTGGACTCCGTGCTGAATACATCATACATCTTGACCTAGAGTCCCTGCCTGCCCACACCCCCACGATAAATTACTGCTGTGGGAACTGTATGGAAGAAAGGTTGAGGACCCTTGAAGTGCAGCAGACCAGCATGCTCAGTGCTACACCCTGCCAGTCTGCTCCTCATGGGAGCTTTAAGGGGCTAAGGTGCCCAGGCATGAAGCAAGCAGAGAGCTATTGCCGACGATTTAGTCAGGCGTCCCTTATCTCTCTAAAATCATGGGAAAATTTCTGTGGAGTCTATCTTGAGGGGAAATTACATGAGTTGTGGATTAGGATAAAAACTTTGGCAAGGCCTGGGGTCTTACCACCACAACTTGCTAAGAGCCCCGTTTCCCACAGATTCTTTAACCACACACAAGGCCAGACCCATGGGGAAAGGCTGCACTTAAGTGGCTGGAACTGTTTTGCTTGGCAAAGATGATCCTCGATTCATTCTTTCTTAGATTCTGAATTTAGAAAAATCAGGTTTGCATCTGTGTACATGGAACCAAATATGCATGAACTCGACACACACAATTACACCTTAATTAGAGAGACGGCAAACAGTTTGTGAGGGTCTGGCAACCACGAATATCTAGGAGCTGGGGTGGGGGGGAGAGGGAGTGGGGGACACTCACAAGAAAAAACCTCCACAAAGCCCGACATCATGAAGCATGAGCTCAGGTTTACGGGAACATAACCACATCCAGGCCCCTGGGCTGCCTTCTCCGTGGAATCTGGCACATGCTGGGATTCTGGCGTTCAGTGTCTTTTAACCAGCCTGACATTGCTGAAATGCGCTCCATGTACTAACGCGAACCTTTACACCCCTTTTCCCTTTTCCCCACAAGGTAAGAGGATTCTTCAGCTCTCTGGAAGACAATGGTTCTCAGCTCCGCTGTGCCCAACAGGCGGTTGAAATCATCGAGGAGAACATCCGCTGGATGGACAAGAATTTGGAAAAGATCCGAGCATGGTTACAAAATGAAAACGTGAGAGCGCTGTAGCCTTCGCTTCAGTTCCGACAGGCTCCGGGGATCCAGAGTCCCCACTCCTTGCCGAATGGGACCGGCTTTCAAAGCAGCAATGGCCTGAGGGCTGCTTTGGGTTTGGATTTGTTTCTTGGTGCCCCCTGGAGCCACTCTCCCTGCAACTCAGTATTCCCGGGCTCCTCGAGATCAGATCGATAGGTGTGTGTTGTTTCACTGCTGGGCGACTGCTCCCATGCGCTCCCCTCAGGCGTTGCCCAGACTTGTTCAGACACCGATCGTGGGTTCCTGAGCACAGAAGCAAGCACGGTGTCCACCTCGTTCTTTCTACTGGGGCCCAGCCGTCTCCAGCGACACACCCCAGCCAACCAAATGTTTGCCGCTAGCGGTTTCATCCACCTCCCTGGGAGACCCAGAATGAGCAGCAGTACTGAGCCCCCCGGGGTCAGCCATGGGCCTGCGCTGAACTCACCGGTTGGTCCTCCAGACCCACTGTCCTCCCCGCTCTTCCCTGCTCTAGTTCAGAGTGACGGGCGGGCCAAACCATGAGGATTTGTGGCCTTATGCCCAATGGGGGGAGTTCCCGGAGGAGACTGGAGCTGGGGGATAAGGATGGAGGGAGGATTTACTCCCCTGGCTCCTTTTCTGGGTGCCTCTGGCTGGACTCACTGAAGGGCTGGCTCTGAGGAGGGGCGGCTCTCTCCTCCTCACGGCCTCTCTCCGTCTCTGGCTTCTGCTACTTCTCGTCCTTCAGAAGAGGGTGCAGCGATGGGAGCCTGGCTTTCACAGACCTCTACCAGGCTTCTGGCTCCCCTACACCCTGCCCACACCTCGAAAGACATTTTTAGAGAGCCCCTTTGGTTGGTTTTGTTCTGAATGTGCTATTTCTTCAGCGGTCCTTCTGAAAAAGCACAGTATGAGGCAGCTTGAGTTTGTTGAAAAATAGAGTGAAAAGATCATGGGATTTTCCCACAAGCTTTTTGAAGCCCCTCAAACCCTTCCGGTTATAGGAAAAACTCTTCCTTTGAACTTGTGACGACTGCTGATGCTTACCTAAGACGGTGAAGCTTTTCTTCTCCACCCTCGTTCGAGCAGTTCCCCAATCCTAAAGGGCAGGGTGTTGGCCCAGGCCGGCACCTTGGATGTGCCTTAGCAGACGATTACATGACAACAGGTGAAATGGAAAATGTTTGCTTAAGCTACCCCCGCCCCCCCCATTGATGACAGTAGATTTATTCTGAATACATGGCAGATTTTCCAAGATAAAGGAATGTGAGATGAAGACTATTACAAAGTGTGTTGCTCTGATAGACAAAGGGGCCCCTGTGGACATCCACTTGTTCCCAGTCCCATCCTTGGAGTGTAATTTGTTGGTTTGAGAAATAAAATAACAACAAAACAGATTGTCACTGATCATTTCGAATCCCCAGCTTTGTCCTTCTGAAAAACACACACAGCCAAAATGTTAATATAAAATAGTTTGCTTTAATTGTATTTTGCATCTCGATTACTGAAACATGAAAATCTTGATCCTTAGTCTGGGCCATCTGCGGAAGCTATCTGTCAGGGACAGAGTCCACTTTCTGAAGAGATACAGAATTGCCACGACTGTGTGCAGGCCCGTTTGGGGAATACAAAGCTACCGGATTTCGCTCTTTGGGCAGATACCTGCAGTCATTTCCTTCCAATCAGATGGCTGAAAACGGCTGACTAAACTCCTGCCCTTTCTTCAAGTCATAACTACTAGCAAACACCGAAGTCTCGAAGGCGTTTCTCAGTCACAAGGAGGCACATTCAAGTGCTGCAAATATGTTTCTTAACTCTGGGTTTTTGGTGTGTCACTTAAACATAACTCGATATATGCCCGGCAATTAGGCACACTTCAGCCACGGGCTTGCATATACAGCATACAGTGTAGAAGGGATCTAAATCTTTTTGTTAAAACAAAACTTAAAAATAAAAGCGAACAGTTTTACTGCCCAAAGGGAAAATCAAATGCTTAGGTAAAGTCCCTTCAGAAAGAGTTTATTTTCTTGTTAGTGCTTGAGAAGTCCACTTAGCTATCATAAACCTGCCTCATAGCTCCCGGACGCAGAACAAAATAGTGACTCTCCCCTCTCTCTCTCTCTCTCTGGTGGAAAAAAGAAACAGCTTTCTTGCAGAGCTTCAAATCCCATGGGCGGCGTGCATGGTTTTTAGACTAATTTTAGGGAGCATTAGCAAGACTTGACCACCTTTCTCAGCAAAGTTGTTACTGTGCTTAGCCCCTCCTGCAAGAGACAGTATTGGTGACATAACTTATTTTTTGTGGTGTCAGCTAAGCTCTAATAAGTAAAAGTTTTAAATAGATGCCAAGAAAGGTGAGGCTCTCTGGACACATTTATTACCAGGAATTAGAGGTGTAATTAAATATCTATCAAAATTCCATCAATGAGATCAGTGTTACGCTCAGAAACTTCATTACTGAAGGAGCTAACAAACCATTCAAAGTTGGAGGATATCAGAGTCTAGTTCTTAAATGGCTGTGGGGGAAAAACAGATGGAAACTTTTTGATTTTTTTTTTTTTTGGTTGACCTTAAATCCCATACAGCCAGATGCTATCCCAATGCACTTAACTAAGGTGGCGGTGGTTCTAAACAAACGGTGTGCGGAGAACAGAAAGCAGAGCTAAATCCCGCAGGAAACAACAGCACCCAAGCCATACGGACATCCGACGTCTTTGGTTTTATTTCTTAACCTTGGAACCTGCTGTGCAGTGACTTATCTGGTCTGCACTTCGCTCTTCGGAGGACTTGATTCAAGTCCCAGCGGGCTTTGTGCTGACTAGAAGGTGCTGCAGTCCTGAGCCCTGGTGAGGGAGAGCGCAGTGCTCACTGGTCTGCCCGGCTCTCTACTACGAAGTTATGATGAGCCGCCCTAGCAGAGAGCCGTGCCCAGTGTACACGCTCTTCTCAACAGTAACCCAGACACGGCACCCAGAACTCGGGAGCCCTGGAGGAGAGGGGCGATGAGAAATGAGTATGTTGAGAAAAGTTCAATGCAATGTTCTCTGAATGCTTAAAACAAAGACAAAAGTGCAATACTAATGAGATTTACAGGCACTGTGTGTAGAATGTGCAAAAGTTTGCAAAGGCTTTTTTTTGGGTATGCATTGCTTTAAGAAACATTATCAAATATATTTCTTACAAATATAAAGCTCTCTTTCTCTCCGGACTGAAGGCAATTTTTAAAAAGTTCAAAGTTTATCAATCCACAGTATAATAACACAGGTTAGCCAGACACATTCAATTTCTTTCCTGGAAAAGAATAACAAACCAATGTTTGAGATGTCCAAAGACTCAACAAATACACACTAGAAACCACCCAGAAGAAGTTGTCTGTTGCCAAAGCCTTTTTGTTCTTCAAAAGTCACCATCCACCAGCTGAATATTTTTTGTGCAGGTACCTTAAACAAAACACAAGAAACCACAGTTCAGTGAACCTTTTGGTATATATTTTTTATTTTTTTGCTACAAGCTTTATAAATGTACGATACGTCCAAAGCACCACGATATAACAGGTGAAAAGGAATTGCTGATAAGTGGATATGAGAATGGACGGTGAATCACCATAAAGAAGAACCCCACACAGTACTCCACTTTCCCAGACTAACAAGAATAAAAGCTGTCAAACATTCCCTGGGAATGTCCACCAGACCCCAACGTGTACTTCTCCGCATGCTCCCACCTGCCGGCATTCGGGGCAGTGTCTACAGGTTGTAACGTGCGACCTTTGCTTTGCCCTAATAACCTGCTGTCAGGGGCATGTGGGTTTCAAGGGTTCGATGAGCCTCAGAGGGCTACGTTCTTTAAGAGGCTGGCCTAACATGATCCCGGGATTTGGAAGATAAGATTAATACTTTTAAACATTCCTGTAGCACCGCCATCCCATGGAGTGCTTCCACAGAATGACTCGCTACCGATTTTGCAAGGGCCTTTCCTGGCCATGACACGCGACCAAGTCCTACTCCCCGGCCGGGTTTGGTTCTCTCACTTTCAAGGCCTCGGTTGGTGGAAGGTGCATTTGCTCCTATTTAAAAACAAACAAGCAACGTACCCAGTACTGTGAGCTTTAACTTGCATTTCTTTCATCCGCTTTTGGCTTGGAAGCTTCCTCCTTTGCCTGAACGGGGAAACAAAGCCCACAGTCAGTTTGCTCTTTTCGGAATTAAGTATTTAAAAAAAACTGATGGATTAGAAGGGGTTCTCCCAATCAAAGGGGCAAAAGATGTTCCCTTCAAATCCCTGCCTTGTCCTCATTTGGCCCAAACACAGAGTTTTCTTCTTCAGTCTAAAAGCTAAAAGTTACTTGCAGTGATCCTAATTTTCTCACTCTTGAGTACTTAATTTTTTCTTTTGCTTTTTGCGCCAGAGCAGAGCCGTGAGTCAGCATCTGGAGCTGGCAGTGTGGGTTCTCTCCAGGCATCTCTTTCTGGTCCTTGCGGGCTTCAGTTTTCCTGCTTTCTCTATGTTGTTACTGGGCTAGCCTCATACTTGTAAAGTGACATTATAAGCAGCTGTCCAGTGCACGCAGTGGTGTGAGCGATATGTCAGTACAAACCCTGTCTCGTATCTTACACAAGAGGGTCTGACGATCTTATTTCTAATGCAACCAGACTATTTGCTAAAAGTTACACCTTTAATTTCTCAATGCACTAGGGGATCCATCGCCACAGTCCTTTGCATCATACGTTCTTGGAACTGGAAGGGACTTAGGAAATTGCACAATCCAGCATGTGTTCCTGACCACAGCTGATGTTAGTAATGTTAGTGGAAGGAAGCTACCCATTGCTGTGCTGCATTAACATCTACAAGAGTCCGTTCTCCCACCTGCATGCTGTCTCATCAATACGCTAGTGCAGAAATGCTGGATCACTCTCCCCAGTGATTTCTATCTACTACTTCCCTATTCCAAGACTCATATACACGACATGCTCTGAACACTGGACACGGACTGAGGAAGGCCCAGGAAGACTCAATGCATGGGAACTGGGAGCTGGAGAATACTGAAACTAACACGGACCGCCAGAGAACCAGGCTGTTTTGGAAGAAGTATGGCCAGAGTGCTCCGTAGAGGCAAAGGTGGCGAGACTTCGCCTGACATGCTTTAGCTACGCTGTCAGGAGAGACCAGGGCCTGGAGAAGGACATCGTGCTGGGTGAAATGGAAGGGCAGTGGAAAGAGGAAGGCCCTTAACAAGATGGAGTGGCACAGTGGCTGCCGCCATGGGCCCAAGCACTGGAATAATGGCGAGGACGGCGCAGAGCCGGGCATTGTTTTGTTCTGGTGTCCAGCGTCCGTGTGGGTCGGACCGACTCGATGGCACGTGGCAACAACACATGCCAAAGCAGGGGAGACGGGCAAGATGAAACCGCTTAGGAGCATTTGTTTAAATATCTAAAAGCACCAGTTACTTTACAAAAAAAGCCTTATAAATTCCGTTTCTTTAGCAAGACATGCTAGAAAATAGTGCTTAACAATTGTTTGGTCATAACAGGTTCCAGTAGGCTACCACTCACACAGCATACTTGCTGAATGAATGTGTGTTTAGGTACCTTTTCTGACTCCTTTGATTTACCCCCACTCTTGGGTGCTCTGCTGCCAGAATCAGTCTTCTTGCCTTTGTCCTGAAGCAGAAGAAACGCAATGAGGCTACTGCCATCATCCATCCATCCAGCAATTAACCCCGGGGCTGCATTCAAACGAATCCAGTAGCCTGGAGATGCCCAGTCCCATTCAATATAATGTGGGTGTTTTGTCAAGATACTTTTGAACAGTGCTGAATGAAGGCAGGAGGTAAGAGGGATAAAGAGGAGGGAGATGTGTTGTGACGTGGGTCACGCTGATGCCCCCACCAACTTGTATGCTGCGCGGTTCCTCCAGGCCGTGTGCTGCTCACCAAAACGGCCCATCCCTCTGGGGACGACTCTATAGGATAGGGTAGAACTGGTCCTGTGAGCTACCAAGACTGCCACTGCTTATGAGAGTAGAAAGCCTCATCTTTCTCCCTAGAAGTAGCTGGTGGTTTCAAACTGCTGACCTTGTGGTTAGCAGCCCAATGTGTAATCAATAGGCTACTAGGACTCCAGTGTGTGTCACTGGGCTTCCTTAATATCCTTATGTATGGGCTATAAATAAATACACCTGTGAAAACATACATATGAAAAAGGAATGCACCAAATATAACGGTATCTGGAAGTCGTAGAATTGAAGGCCATTTTCCCTTCCTCTAGATTCAGGTTCTCTGTTCATGCTGTAGCTTATAGATTACGTGGGTGCCCACACGTTTAGAAACGCCCATAGAGAAAAGCATCGCACCTTTGCTGCTTTCTTTGAGGTGTCTGCAGTCGAGGGGCAGCTGTCCAGTTCTTTGGAGAGGGCGTCAATGGGGTCTTGGTCATCTGCAGGTTTCTGAACCATTAAAATAAATTATTACCAGTGACAAATAGGCGAAATACAGTGCGGGCATTTCCTGACATGACTGAAAATAAAAGATGCTTATTTTGTCAAAAAAACTTGACAATATCCTTTTCCTAACAAAGAGGCCTTTCAAAAAACTAATGAAACATGAGCATCTTCAGAGACTTGAGTTCTCCTATTTTATACCAGCTACATAGCTTTCGTTGAGCCGTAGTTTTCTAATCTGGAATATGGTTCTGCCTTTCTTTAAAATACTTTCACTGGGGGCTCTTACATCTCTTCTCACAATCCATACATTCATCCAGTGTGTCAAGTACATTTGCACATAGGCCGCCATCATCATTTTCAAAGCATCCTCTTTCCACTTGAGCCCCTGATATCAATTCCCCATTTCTTTCCCCTACTTCCCCCACCAGCCCTCCCTCACAAACCCTTGATAAGTTATAGATTATTATTTCCATATCTTACATTGTCCTCGGTTGCCCCTCACCCCCTTTTCTGTTATTTGTCCTCCTGGGAGGGTTCTAGATTGATCCTTGTGATCAATTCCCCTTTTCTCCCCCCACCCTCCCCTAATCCTCCTAGTACCTCTACTCTCATTGTTGGCCCTGAGGGGTTTATCTATCCTGGATTCCCTGCGTTGCAGGCTCTTGTCTGTAGAGGTGCATGCTCTGGTCTAATCTGATTTGCAAGGAAGAATTGAGGTCATGATAGTGGGGTGAAGGAAGCACCAAAGAACTAGAGTAAAGTTGTGTGTTTCATCGGTGCTATACTGCATCCTGACTGGCTCATCTCTTCCTTGTGACCCCTCTGTGAGGGGATGTCCAATTGCCTATAGATGGGCATTGGGTCTCCACTCCATGCCTCCCCCCCCACACACACACACACTCCAATTCACCTTGGGTATGGCTTTGTTCTGGGTCTTAGATGCCTGATACCTGATCCCATCGACACCTCATGATCACACAGGCTGGTGTGCTTTTCCATGTGGGCTTTGATGCTTCAGAGCTAGATGGCCACTTTTTTATCTTCAAGCCTTTAAGACCCCAGACGCTATATCTTTTGATAACTGAGCAGCATCAGCTTTCTTCGCCATATTTGCTTATGCACCCGCTTTGTCTTCAGTGATTGTGTTGGGAAGGTGAGCATCACAGAAGGCCAGATTGTTAGAACAAAGTGTTCTTACGTTAAAGGAGTACTTGAGTCAGGGCCCAATGTCCATCTTTAACCTTAATTCTTAACATATAGATATGAGGACATTCCCCTCTCATATATATATTTACACATGTACATGCCTGCATTTAGACCTCTATAAATGTCCTTTTCTTCCTGGTTCTTTCCTCTATTTCCTTTTACTTTCCTCTTGTCCCACCATCATGTTCAGCGTTCATTCGGGTTTAGTAATTCCTCACTGCTACATTGCCCTTGATTAAGCCCCACTAGGCATCCTATGACCTTCCTTCCATTGAATTTAGTTCACTTGTTGTTCCCTTGTCCCTGGGTTGGTTCTGCCCTTCCCCTCCTTCCTTTCTCCCACCTCCCCTTCTCCCATATCCCCGTGGAACCATTGGTCCCATTCTTTTCATCTCCGAATTATTTATCCCACCTATCTTATCTAGATGGACATGCAGATACATTAATAAGTGCAAAAACCAGGCAAAGCCAAAGAAAACAACAAAGGAAGCCAAGACCAACAAAATAATAACAACAAAAAACAAACATAAAATAACAAAAAAAAGAAAGCCAGTTCAGGTCTGTTTGTTGGCCTTTATGAGTGTTTTCCATTCAAGTCTGATGGGGTGCCACACTCTGCCTCCAAAGTCTATTTTGGGTATTCCCCCAGGGGTTTCATCACTCTGCTCCCCCTACTGCTCTGCTGCATGCCCTCAGTGCCTCGCCCCGCGTGATTGGACCAGACCATGCACTACTCCTGCACTGTGTCTCCAGTGCTGTCTCCCACAGAGTCATGGTTCAGTGAGGGATGCAGTGTCCCCTGGTGGGGTTGGCCCTATGGTCCTCCCCGTGGGTTGTCTACTCCAAGCAGGAACATCATCCTCGGGGCTTGGTGGGCCAGATGTCCTCTCCTCCCTCTCCATTTCTCCCGTGTGCTCTAATCCAACTCGCCTCTCTCCCCAAGCTGTAGTCCCCATTGCTGTCCTCTGAAGTACATTCTTCTGTGTGTGGTGGTGGGTGGGGGTGAAGGGGGGGTCTACATAGTTGGGACTGGGGCCGGCCCCCGTTCTGCCTTTCTTATCAAAGTTTCGTGAGGACTAAATTAGATAAATTATACATACACACATCCACTCCCCTTTTTTAATCTCTCAAAAATGCATACATTGATATAGTGCCAAGCACAGGATAAGCACTCAATATCTTTTATGTTAATACCAAATAAAGCAATAGTTACAATTTTTTTTTTAAATCAAAGTATGCTACTACTGTATTTACCTTTGCCTCCTTTGATTTTTTTTTCGATGGCTTCCCTGGTTTGCCCTTAAAAAAAGCCAAGACAGACCATTGGTTAAACCTAGATCTCTGTACAAAGTTTGCTTGGGTGCGGTCAGTATTTGTAGGCCTGATATCCAGTGATTCAACTTCAATAAAATAGAGTACAGAATTTCAGTAATTGATAAACCTGGCTGCCCAATTAACTACTATGTGGCCAGTTTTGCTTAATTATTACTCTGATAAGCATTTCAATTGCCTTATGGAAAATATAATACAGTTTGATGCCGGAATGGAAAGAAACACTATTTAGGTAGTGTTTGCTATCATGCATTATAATTCTACTTAATATGTTGCCCACCCACTGCCTCCCTCTGCAAAAACAAAACAAACAAAC